GAAATCATTGGTGCAGATGCTTCTAGTGTCCAAATTAACTGTCATGAGGTCCATCCACAAACTCTATTCCCCAGGAGAAGCCCAGCACTCAAGCCCTCCTCACTCAAAGCTCACAGACGCCTCCTCTGCATACAAGCCTAACAAACTGGTCATCGCGTTTTCCAGCTCACAGTGCTGCGGAACAAGGCACCAAGGGCAGTCAAATCCAGCAATTAGCAGGGAAAAGAGTGTCAGAATACCAAAGAGCAGATGTCGAAAATGGAAGGCGGAGAGTCTGGCACCAATCTAGGGGCAGACAGTCCCACACGGCAGATACCAGGCCCTGGGGGTTTCTCTCAATTCCTGCACAGTTCCTTAATTTATGGGTAAACTGATGTAAGTCTTCCTCCCTAAAAGATGAAATTATGATCAGTCCCCCTGTTGAATAAAAAAGAATGTAAGACATTTTAAAGTGCAGAACATCCCCCCAAAAAAGAAGTTAAAAGAGAAGGGAGTTTGCAGGAGTACTGAGGTGAGGCCCTCTGGTAGGCACAGCTCTGTGTTAAGCAATGAGGTAAGTTTTATTAACGTGGAGAACCAGCTCGTGTGGGCCGGCAGTGCTGGGAAGAGCCCTGCCGCCCTATTACCAACGCAGCAGTGGGGATACCTCTCCGCCAGGCGCTGCGCACGTCACGTGAACAAACCCAGACAGAAGCTTACAGCTCTTCATTCTGTGGCTATGAGTCTTCTACCTCCAATCATTTGTGTTAAAAAAAAAATCCAGGACTTATGTGCACATTGGTCAGTAGGACTTTCAGGTTTCTCCTTCCAAATGAGTGAGGTGACACATTCCTCAGCCCCAGGGGTGCGCTCGGCTCTCACACTAGGACACCATCCTGGGCTCGGCACCCGCTGGTCCCCGCTCTCACCTGGAGCTGGGTCTATGACTGACAGTGCATATTTCAGGAGGAATCCTCTGAAACCAGAGACAGAGGCTACAGAGCTGTAACTGACCTTAATGCAGCCATTCACTAAATCTTTCCAGGATCCTCACAGCCATCTGGTAAGAGGAATAGAAGCTGCGAGACCAGGCTGACTCGATAACTAGCTTAATTTCACACGTTACATTTCTGTAGCTGCCTTATTTTTCCCTTTATCCTGCATGACTGCAGAGAGAATTCAGACTCTCTGAAGTTGAGAATCTCACCCATTAGTAACAAAATCTCACTTTATACTAAGTTGGCCTTTCTTTGGAGATGTTCCAACTGCTTTAGAAACATTCTTCCATGATGAAGAGTAGGTAGGCAGTAATTATTATTCTTTCTGGACAAGAGGTAGAATTGAGAATTTTGGCCATGCAGAACTGAAATGTTTTTTGAACGCCTCAGGGAAAGCAAAAGCAAGGCTTTAAAAATAAGAGATAGGACAGATGTGACCAAAAATAGGAGTAAGAACGGTATACAAAATACCAAAAAAGGAGAATTCTCCTATAATCAGCTCATTCTCAGTGACAGCATCTTAGACGCAGCCCCGCAGTGTTCCTTACGGGTGTAGCTTCAACAGCAGCACAGGCCTGAGAAGCCGGGCCTGCTGAGTGCTAACGTGGGCACGAGTCAGACACATTCTCCCTCTCTCTTGGATCTTTGCTGGGAAACAGGATCAAAAATCCCCACTCCATAAAGTAAAAGCTGTAACTGCAGTCATGCACGTGGACGGAAAGCTACTTGGTCCAGACTGTAAGAAGTTAACTTAACGACACTGCAATGTCACCTGTGGGCCGGGTTTCTAATTTACAAGCCACCTGTCCAGCGTATCTCTGTTATCCTGACGCTGGCCCGGGGAGGCGGGGAGGGATTTCCCATCTCTGCTCTAAGATGAAACCGAGGCATCCGGCTGCCTCGCGGCTGCAGTGTTGCAGCCCCTATGCATTCCTCTTTATCCTGCATTTTCCCTGCACTGCCTTCCTTGCTGCTGTTTTCTTCCCCCCCATGGAGTTGACCTTAATTCCTTTAAATAATCGCAATGGAAAGTGTACGGGTTTCGAGTTTTAACATCTAGATTTGACTGCCACCCCTGTTCCTTGCTAGCTTCGGGCCCCCCGTAAGAGGAAGGTAACACAGGTGATCTCATGCAGCTGTTAAGAGGACTAAGTGAATGAGGAAGACCCAGTACACACCTGACACCTGCCCGGAGCTCACGGCACCGACGGTGCTCAGGAGTGAAGGCCATGGATGACCCGCTCACTGGGGGCGGAGAGGGGAGAAGGGTGGGGACTCGGCCTGCAAGGGATATCTGATGTGCTCAAAGTGGCAAAGCTGTGGGGGGGTAGGGTGGTGGGCAATGCACCCGTCACAATGTCCAAGACCTACCCTTTTAGTTTTGCAGAAAATTAAGAAATGAAGGGGCCATTTCTGTCTAACTGTGCAGTCACTCATGTGAAAACTGAGTACAACTGATTTTATGTAGGATCCCACCACGTGGAGAGACGCGGATGCCACGCCCTGGGGTGCGTGTTCAGAAGCTGGTGTATGGGGTTGCTATGAGGGTTAAATGAGATGAGATGTGTAAAAGCAACTAGCGACATTCTACGGACGAAGCCAGCCCCACGTTATCATCTCCACTTTGCAGCCGAGAAAAGCTGGGGGGAGATGAGCTGAATGGAGCTCCGAGCCGCTGGGGGTGCGGGACAGACCCCGGCTGGTCTGCGGGCCAGCTGCTCGGTCGCCCGGCCAGGGCTTCTCTCCGCCATCCTCTCGGACCCCTTTCACTGCATCCCTCTGGCTGGATCCTGTTTCCTGACTCACACGTCTTCCTCTTTCTTGGCTTCTCTCTTCATGCTGCTAAGGCACAGCCTTTAGGCAATTCAGAGAAATGACACTTGGGAGCTAAATTTTCTGAGACCTGCACGTCTGAAACATCTCTAATTCTCCTTTTATGCTCAGGTTGGGGTCTAACTCCAAGTCAGAATTACGTCCCTCAGGATTTTTTAGTGTCAGCGCTCCACGCCTCCAAGCTTCCAGGGTCACTGTCAAGAGGGCGACACCATCGTGCAGCTCCACCCTCGGTGTGCTTTCTGAAAGCATTTAGGATCTTTTGCAGTTTCACACGGAGATGCCCTGGAGCAGAGGCAGGTCCTTTCCCCTTACTGGCCTGGGCCTTCCATCTGCAGGTCAGAATCCTTCAGTCTCAGGAACCACTTTTGTGCTGCTGCCTTCCCGGCACCCTCCTCTGTCTTCTATTCTCTTTCTGAAGCGCCAGTCAGTTGGATGCTGGACCTTGAGGATTAATCCCTGACTCGTCTTTCATCTATTTCCTACGTTTCTGTCTTTTTTGGGCCTTTTGATCTATTTTCTGAGGCATTTTTCACTCCAGCACTTCTCACAGGACTTTCAGTTTGATACTTTCTTACCTTGTCTCCCCCTTTCTTTAACGACAAGCTGCGCCCACTCTCCCCCCGGACCTCTCTGAGGAATCCAAAGAGCGCCTTTCAAGTCTTCTTCTGCTCACTGCATTGTCTGTGTCCTCCAGATTCTTTCCCCGGTTTATTTTGGTCTCTTTCATTCTGGAGGCCGTTCATTCATATTTAAGACGGAAGCACTAAGCAGCCGGCTGGCGGCTCATGAGTGTGGAAGGGGCTTATTCGCCGAGGGGCTGGGCGATCAGGCGGCAGGCTGGTTTTTCACTTGAAGACCCCCACTTGTCAGCATCTATAGAGCTCTTCCCTGGGACCATGCAGCTTCTCCAGTCAAAAAAAAAAAAAAAAAAAAAAGCCCCACTGTGACTCAATGGTGAGACCCTGACAAGCATGTCAGCCAGGGTCCGGGGAGCGGGGCTGGAGAGGGGGCTGGGCTCCACTGCCCCGTCTGCGTGCTGTCAGCCTGTTTGGGGCAGAAATAAACGGGCGACAAACTCGATGAAAGCCCCCAGAGATTACAAATTAACCTGAGTGAAAAAACTTCAGCACAGCAACGGCTTTGTATTTTTACCATTTCCAGCTGAAAGGTTTTACAAGTGAAGACAGGGCGAGAGACCAAAACCTTAATGATCTGGTCTTTCCCCTCCTTGTTATTAACTCATACGTGGCGTTCCCTCATTCCTGCCCTTCTAAGGCCAGACTTACAAACCCACCATCACCACCCCTTCGAGACCGATGAGCTACTTGCTCACTTGTTATGAGCTTGCTGACAGGAGAAACGAAAAAGACACTCTTGGCTTGCGACTCACATCAAAAGTATTATTGAGTTCTTGACCTGGTCTGGTTGTCCCTGACCTTTGGGAGAGGCTGGGGGAGAAAAACAGGAGAGACCCTGGGACTACCCCAGTGTACTTCCCTTGTGGAAGAAGCCCCCCAGCAGGGTCACAGACGCCCTCTCAGGCTGCCCACTCCTTCAGAATTCTGCTCCCACCACAAGGACGGCACAGGGCAGCCAAGTACGCGAAAGAACCCCATTCACCCCACGTGACAAGCACCTGCCGCAGGCCAGACGTACTCAGTCCATATCTCCACTTGCTTAAAAAAAGGGAGACTTTTTTAGACTGCATTTGGGAGCATAAAAAAAAAGGCCTTTAAATATTCACGGTAACTTCTGTGCTTTGATTACAGGTTACCCTGCTGTGTGAGACGGGTCTGAAACATATTTATTAAATATTTTAAGTTTAAATGCCTACTGTAATTACCAGAAAAGACTATTCTCCACAGTTTAGAAACTATTAAAAATTGAAGTCAGAAGCCCTTAAGATGAATGCATTTATTCATTTTGTGCCTCAGCTGTGCACCTTTAAAATGCTGAGCTGAATTTAAAAATTCTTGTCAGAGCAAAAATGACCACTCTAGAATTTATTCCAAGGTGACCTACTGTGTACAAAAAATAAAATTCCTTCAGGTATCCTCTGAGCCATGAAATTTATTCCTAATTTATCAAACACACTTTAATTATCCTCCGGGGAGCTCCCCTCCCAACTAAAGCAACTGCAGGCACTTCACATGCTGCCCGCTAGCCGCACACAATCGTGACACTTACCAGGTTTTTGAAAAGCGCTGTCAGCTCCTTTGTAAACACTGAGAACTTCAGGAAGGCGCTTCCTAAATCCGGGTCATCCCTGCACACGCAGTTGCCCCCGAACTTCTCCAGAGCTTGCGTGTACTGCTCCTCATTCTCCACGTGGGCTGCAACGGCAACGAGAGGCAAGGTTAAGGTCTCCACTCCCCGCCCCAGCCCCCGCCGGGTTCTGCTTACTTGTGAATGAAATCGAACACGTGAACAGAGTAAAAATCGGAGAAGACTCAAGTCGCACCAGGAACAGAAATAACTCTGCTGTCCCGACACCCCCGCCAACTGTGCCGGCCACAGACCCCAAGTACGAACACGGCGGCACGTGAACTCCGCCGGGCAGGGTCACGGACGCGCTCTCAGGCTGCCCACTTCTTCAGAATTCTGCTCCCATCGCGAGGACGGCACAGGGCGGCCACAGAAAGCCTCAGCACCGCAGCTTTTCACCAAAAAACAGATCTTGAAGAGCCCTCTGCAGTCCCCCAAGTTCCTATTCAGGGAAATAAAGTCACTGTCAGCCTTGCTGGTGCCTGGGGCAGGCCTGACAACCGGGTACCCAGGGGGCCAATGTGCCGAAGGCAGCCCTGGTGCTGAACCAGGTCCCCAGGGTCCATAAACAGTGTGTCTGCCCGTCCCGCCAGCAGGCCCTTCGCCCTCCGGGGCCACTTCCGGGGGCCCTCGGGTGCCTTAGGGCTCCCGTGTGATCTAACACAAGAGAACATTAATTTCACCGTTTAGGCCCTTTTCCTTTTTTCTATTATTATCTTCTAACGTTTCAGAAAAAAGCCTGAGATTTCTGGACACACTAAATGTATTTCTGAGACTACACTCAGCAAAAGAGTTAAAACAGAGACACACACACAGGGTGTGGCAGAGCAGGGAGCCCTCAGGAGGTCTGAGTCCCAGGCCTACGCCTCCCAGGAAATACACGTGACCTGGTGATACACATGTTCACTCTCACTGGGGCTCAGCCGCCTGGAGGACAGAGACCCACGGTGCGATGCTCGCCAGGTGACGGCAGGACTCAAAGAATGGGGTAAGGCTAACCACCCAGTTCAACCACACTCAGCACACACCCACCAGCACAGCGGCACGGGTGTCAACTGTATTCAGCACAAATGACTTACATACTTTTTTTCTAGACTTCACAACAACTTACATATGACATGCACTACTGCTCACAATGCTGAAGGGAAACCGGGGCTCAAAGAGCTCAAATAACTTGTCCTCAGAAAGTGGCGGGTCTGGGGGTGCAAACCTGCGTCTGTTTGATCCCAAAGCCCACTCTTCTCGCTCTGCTACATGGACGTGCATTTCATTCTCAAAACAGCTTACTTTTTGCCCAAACCAAAAGTACCCAGGTTTAAGATTTTCAAAATTCCATTTCAGAGGCTGACCAGTTACACCTTCTATTTCACTCTACTTATAATTGTAGAACACATGGTCAACAGCAAAGGGCAGTTCCCTTCAAACCACATGCTATTTTATAACTATTTCAAAATTGGTGGTCAAGACATGGGCGATCCCGGGGTGGTTTTGGAAGGGACTGGCAGCCACAAGCAGATGTCTGGTGATGATGTCACTCCACTGGGGGAGAGACACAGGAATGCAGGGGCCAAAGTCACCCTGGGAGCCACGTGGTATCCTTCACAATGTGCAGGGACCCTCACTACTGCCCAAGGCGAGCACCCCAGGGAAGAGGGAGGGAACCAGCTTTGAGTAAAGGTCTGTTAGGTGGCCTTCAAGCCTTCTGTTCCATTTAACCTAATAACACTACAAGGTGCGGTGACCATCATCCCTTATTGTCTTCTGAATAAGGTGGGGTTCAGGGGGCTTAACTCTTGACAATGCCTACAGCCCAGCATCTCTCCAGGTCCTCCTGTAACACCCAGCATGGTGCCCACTGTAAGCACAGCCAACACCCCAGAGCACACATTAGCTAACTGACCTACTGCTCCAGATCACCCCAAGGTGGAGATTTTCCTTCTCGAGAGCAGAAAGTAGTTGAGTGCCTTTATTTTCCTTTTGCCAAAACTAAATTTAAAACAGGAACCTAAAATAAATGGCTTGGGAATAAAGTTTCTGGAAAGAACCCAAACTGGGTCTATCATCTTTTATTTACAGAACTGTGAAAGCTGTTCTTCTAAAATGAGCTTGCTCCCCTACCTCCCCCTTGTTCAAATATAGTGTTAACTCTGGTTCTTATTAATGGTCCAGATCCAAGAATCCATGCTGCGGGGGGAACCTGGGAGAACGAGCCTCGGAGTCACTGAGACCAACACAGACAAGACCCCGCTCTTCCCAGCTCGAACCCAGCGACCCTCCCGTTTCCCACCCCTCACTACACAAGGGTCGGGCTTCCCACCATCCCCTCAAAGGGGTGGCTTTGAGAGGCTCTCACAGAAAAATCTACCATGGAGCCAGCAGGCACGTAAGCACCTGCATACAGTACGTTTAGAGGTAAGGGCTGGGTTTTATTGTGTGCTTTTTAGTTTACTTGATTCTGTCATTCAAAAGACTGATATTGTATATTTTTGCCTCCTTTGTCAAAAATTAATTGACAATAGGTCTGTGGGCTTATTTCTCAGCTCTCTATTCTGTTTCATTGACTGAGACGTCTGTTTTTATGCCAAAACCATGCTGCTTGGATTACTGCAGCTCTGAGACATTGTGCGGTACACCAGAAATTGACACATTGTAACTGACTGTACTTGAATTTTAAAATTAAAATTAAAATTAAAAAATTATGAGCATATTAAGATAGATAGATAGATAACTAAATAAATAATATTAAGAAGAAGGTCGAGTGCATGTAGTTCACACAAAAACTGTTGGATCCAAAAGGAAAAAAGGCAGCCCCTCTACTCCCACCGAGCAGGCCATGGCACGGCGGGGAGGCCCGTGGCCCTTCCAGGGACAGGAAGGGTCCCAGGGCCAGTTCACCTTCGCCCACCTTCACTCCTACCTGGAGATACACTCCTCACTGCCAGCCCTGCAGCAGAGTGGGACGGTGTGCCGGAGTGGACACAAAGATGAGGGTGACCAGCGTCCAGGGACTGATGCACCAACCCGTGCATGAGGCCTGCGATGCGCTGGGTGCTGAAGGTTCAGAGATGTCAGGAAGGGGATGCGTGAGCTTGGCTCCAAGGGCAGGCAGGAATTTCCAGACAGAGGAGATCCAGGAAGGAAGGTATCAACCCCAGGGGGACAGCAAGGAGTCCTGTGTGTTCAGAGGCTGTGAACACTTGCTCAGTGTCCAAGCCCCTGCCTGCACCAGCTCCTGATGCAAAGCCATCACAGGGCAGCGCAGGCCTCACTGTCCTACCCTCCCCAGGGCCACCCAGGCCCACTACTGGGTCTTTACAGTCCAAAGGACCCTGAAAGGATCAGAGAGGGTGCTGACCTGCTCAAGTACACACAGCTAGTTCTCAGCAGCTCTACAACTAGAACTGTCTTCCTGATGGCCCAGTCCTCCCATGTTCCTCCAACCGTGCAAGGAAGCATTTCCTCATTTGCTCATCACACAGTCACTGCTCTCGGCTCCCATGAATGTGCAATCCTCCAACCAAGAGCACGCGCCGGGAACCCGAACCCCAAGCACCCCAAGCGCCCCAAGCAGAGAGAAGCAGAGCAGCCTGACGGCGCTCGCCCTGACAGGTACCCTCCAACCAGTGGGCCACCGGGGGGTCAGGAGGAGGCAAATCATCCACACGGACAGCTCCGTCGCACGTGCATCTTAGAAGGAACATATGTTCTCTGCAGTGGCAGCTTTACAAAGACACTCCCTAGATGACGTGGTGACTGATATTCAAACGTGAGGCACAATTTTAATGTCAGGATAATCTGCACGGCTCAACATAAAGGACACCACTTCCCCTCGAGCTGCGGGCCCCACGCGTCACCTGGTTCAGATCTAACCCACGCACACAGCTCGTGAGAAAGCAATTTCCTGGAGTCAAAGATAATCCCCACTGCTTACCAGGATCTCTACCCTGTGAACACTGCATGGGAGAAAATCATTTTTAGAACTTTATTCCTAGTCATCCCAGATAAAAATCTTTCAGTTCACAATTCAGCAATCAGCATTAAAAGTTTAAAAAAAAACATGGCTGCCATCCAATAATCCCACTTCTAGAAATGTACCCTAAGGGAATAATCAAGTGACCAGAGCTGTGTGTGCAGAACAATTGGTAAAGTGTAAATGTATTAAGCTTGAACGATATGGAAATGGTTAAAGACAATCATCTCTACAAAATGGGATATTATGTAAGCTCTTAAAATCATGATGGAGAAATATGTTCAGGGTAGAATGCCAGGTTTTAAAAAAGGCAGGACACAGAACTATATATTTAGTCTCAACTTTGTAAAAAGTAAAATGTAGAGAAAAGGCTGAAAGTACATCAAAACGCTAACGTGGCGGTGAAACAGCAGGTGCTCGGTACCTGGCGACTGGCGCCGGCCAGGGACAGGCCAGTGCTTTCCGTGCATCCCCGTATCCTCTTCAACGGGGTATCTGCAGAGACGGAACAGACTGTGGGGGAGTAAGGACCGAGGCCAGGCGGCAGCTCTGACTGGCCAGGCAGCGGCTGCAGCCCGGGCGACCTCAAACCAAGAGCGGGATCTGGCCGGGCTGGGACTTTGTTCTACTGCTTTTCTGAATTTTTTAAATGTTCTAAACTAAGTTCATATTATCTTTATAATCAAAAAACAACATAAGGAATAAATAAAATAGAGAAATCGGAAACGTCACCTACAAGGGCTCGGTTACTCGGTTCTCTGTGCCTGTGCTTTCTCTACCAGCTTCTCCTGGACAAGTGGACATGACGGAGACAGACTCTGCGACCTGACCTGACCCTGCATCACCTCTGACAAGACACAGCACCTACCAACAAAGAGGGTTTGATGAGAACACGCTCCCCACTTCACAAGTCCCCGGGCCCACGCTCAAGCCAGGCACACGGACAGACGCCTCTCTCCTGGGCTTCACCACCTGCCGTTTCCCCCAGTCTCTCCAGCACTCTGTGCTCCTCCTCCTTTCAAAACTTCAGGCAAAACTCATTTCCATCCAGACTTTGCTGGGCGTCCCTCTGACTACGGGAAGACTGCCAGACCTTAT